CTAAGAAAAATTGAATTTTTTTGAAAATTTTTTTTTGACGAAAATCGCTTTAATGGTCGTAAAAATGGTGTTCCTCGACTTGGATTTGGCTGTCAATTTTTTTCTACACTTTTAGGTGTATTTTGTGCAAGAAATTGCAATAAAATAGTCTGCCTAAGAAAAATTGAAAAAAGTTGCTAAAAAAGATTCAAGTTTTCTTAGTTTTCTTTTTGTGGTGCTCTATTTTTTGGCATTATTCCCAAGCCACTATCTCTCAAATTTTATTTTCCGAAAATTTTTTCTACTATTTTTTGAGTGTAGCTTAGCATCTGCTGGACCAATCAAAAAGTGCTCCATACATTTTTTGTTCGAGACTTTTTGCTTAATTTTTTGGTGGTATTTGGGAAGGAGTATCTCGCAATTTTAATTTTTTAAATTTTTTTCATAAAGCTGAAATTTATTTGAGTCTAATTAGAAAGTGTCTCTTTCTCTCCTACAAATGTTTTATCCCATGAATTTAAATTTGAAATTTTTTCTCTTTTCTTTTTTTTTAATTCCCCAATGGATGATTTAGGCGGGGGTGATATTAAACATGAAGTATATGTTGCGGGGTAAAACCGGAATGGAACTTGGGTTAAAATGGGTGTAGGTGCCTGTTCAGAGTTAGTGCCTGTCATACATAATTGAAAACCAACACGCAGCAAGGTCCGACGAATTCCTATAAATTTCAATGCACCTACTCTATACTGGTAAACTTGGCTTGCTGATGGCAATTGCAATATAGCAACAGAGTATATATATACAAAACCAGAGAGAGAGAGAGAAAGACCACCATGAATCGAATGACAAATCATAAAAGAAAAAACTTTAACGACTCGCGCCACTGTAAAACCAAATTGATCCAGAGGGTTCAATTGCGTACACAAAATTACAATATACAGAGTGTAGATGATTTTATGATTTTATAAATTTTCATATTAATGAAATTCTTAGTTTCAATTTTTTTAAAGTATTAGAAAAATATTTTTTTCCTTCAGACGTCAGTTCAATGTGTAATTAGACACATTTGGAAATAAAAGAAAAAAATGATTTAGTACTTGATAATATAAGTAGTATAAGTCAGTAGTCAAACTTAACTGAAATAAAAGAAAAAAAAACCTTACTATTTGATACTACAATAATTTTATTATTAATTATTAAAAGTAAAGAACTATCAATCTTTTTAATTAAGTAAATTATTAATTAGTATTGAATTATCAAAATTAGTTTTAAAAATAATATGAATTTTTTTTCATCTAAATTTCATTTGATTTTTTAGTTATAAAAATGGCAAATGCGCACATTATGGTTATAACTGCGTAAACTATAAATGTTCCAATGTACATTTGCAGCTGACTTAAAATTGTTTCAATTTCATATTTTCCAGCTGACTAAAATCAAGTGACCTATATTTTTCTGCAGATATAGGCGAGAGTCGAAATATATATATATATATATATATAAAGAGAGTGCAGTTGAAACATATATATATATATATATATATATATATATATATAAGTTTCTTCCTAGAGAGTTTAAAACTGCATTTCTCTCTCTCTGTCTCTTATAAATATCTCCCTTTCCCACCTGTTTCAATAAAAGTTTACTTCGTGCAAACAAAGTGTGTTATAATTTCTGAGATACAAAATCTTATACTTATCACGAATTGTTTATATAAAATACACTGCGTTATGGAAATTAGCTTTTGAAAACTCTGTTTACAAACTCTTTCCCATTTCATTAAATATCATCGAAAGTTTCCGTGAGAGGGTAACAACATCAATTATTTTAATTAATTAATAATAATA